CAGCGTCACGCTGCACGTGCTGCTGGTGGACGGCTTCTCGCAGCCCTACCTGCCGCTGCCCGAAGCGGCGGCCTACCCGGTGCGGGCCGACCCGCTCACGGTCTACCTGGTCATCGCGCTGGCGTCGGTGTCGTCGCTCTTCCTGTTCTCGGTGCTGGCGTTCATCGCGGTGCGGCTGTGCAGGAGGGGCAGGGCCGCCTCGCTGGGTGGCTGCTCGGTGCCCGAGGGCCACTTCCCGGGCCACCTGGTGGACATCGGCGGCACCGGGACCCTGTCCCACAGCTACCAGTATGAGGTGTGTCTGACGGGAGGCTCAGGTACCAGCGAGTTCAAGTTCCTCAAACCGGTTGTCCCCAACTTCCTTGCTCAGGGTGAGGAGAGGGTTAGTGAGGCAAACCCCAGTTTCAGGGATTGCTTTGAATTCAGTTAAGAATCAATAAGGTCTATTGAGCCTAGTCTGTTAATTTGTGGAAAATCCTTTTTAACTGTCTTGCCTAGTGGGGTTGCTTCTTGTTATTTGAAATGTAAATATCTCTTTTCAATTCAGTGCATGTTACTGGTGTTTCCAAATGTGTTGCTTTGTGGTATAATGAATGCAAATTTTCTTTGTATTCTTATTGGTGATTAGTCTCCCTGTAGATTTATAGTATGAAAGTAAATTTGGTTTTCCAAAAGTCCTAAGTTTTAAGTTACAGCATTGTTTACCAAATTCATCTTCCCCAGTGCGTAGTTAATTTTGCAGTCCTACGTTTTTAAATGTTTGCTATCTCTACATATGGTTATCTTTTTTTTCTGCCCAGAATATTTGTTTGTATAGTGTGACTTTTATCCTGTGAAGTCACATTGGGTAAAATCAACATAGGTATATTCATGAAAAAACAAAGCACTCTCTCACATTTTTCTAAATATATACTTCAAAAAAGTATCCACATATGAAAATTATGATTCTTTAAAGATTGTGAGAACCTTGACTGTTAGATCCAACAAAACATTCATATTAAGTCTTCAATAAACCAATCACTAATATTTTAAAATGTACTTGTATACACAGCACATGTCCAGGCATTTTCAAAGACATACTAATTCTTCATGCTTTCTGTTTCAAAAAATTTTAATCTCTTATTTCAGTCTGTCCTTTAAAAAAATCTCAGTTTTCATTATTAAAAACTAATAACTTTGAGCACTTAATTAAAATCTGGAAGATTTTAGGGAATATATGTCTTTGTCCTTGACCAAATTTAAGAAACTTCAGATGTAGTTTGGTATTGCATTTTCCAACATTTTCTGAAGCATGAATGATTTCGTTGGAAATAAGCCTGTGGGGAAAATATTTATCTTGGTCTGCCTGATCATACCTTTTTTTTTTTTTTTGCACTGACTACTTCTATTTTCCCCTTTCAGTTTCTTACTTTTCAATGCTTTTTTTTCTTTACGTGCTTGAGTTAAGTTTCTCAATAGCTCCCCATTTTTTGCATGATTAGCACAATGACTTGAAGATTATAGCTTCTGTTCTTAATAAAAATTTTGAGTGACTGATTGAAAGAAAGAAGTGTCTTTATTTCACCTGTGATATATATTGATATTTAAATACATTAAAATACTCACAGGACAAAATTTTGCTGGAATTATGTGCTCTTTGATGTATGATGAATTTTATACATATAATTTTTGGTTATTAATTGAGCTTATCACTGTTCAAACTATGCAGTTATCAATCCCTGATGTCTCTTTCCTTCAACATATTTTTCCTTTTTCTCTTCCTGCTTAATTTGAATCGCCTCCCCTGCCCACTAGCTTAAGGAATACAAATAGGGAAGTTGTGTTTTCAATTTTGTAACTTAAATTTCCTTCTGTAATTCCCTAAATGATTCATCTAAGTCTATTTCTAGCATCTCAATTTCTGATCCATACATTAAAACAAAATTTTTAATTCTTAATGTTCTTTAGCCTATCTTTACATTTTTATATCATTTAACATATATTTGAATGAGCTATACTATTAAAATTATAATACAAATTTTAAAGGTCTTATTTTGAGATTAGCAGTGGTATAGAGCACAGCATGGTGTTGCAAATTCTGATTAACCAACTTATTACCTGTAAGATCTTGGATAAGTCATATAATTTCTTTCCCCACAAAATAATAACAGTTATTTCAATAGCTTGCAATTCTGATCAAATAAGATGATATATAGAAGTGTAATTGCTATTCTTTTAAGTATCACTAACATTAAGAGTAAATTTAATAGATGAGCCTTCATGTAACATCCCTAATAATTGGGAAGAAGCTAGATTGAATAATGATATTTGTGTTCATTGTGTTTTCATTTCTGTGCTTAAAACCTTGCAGCACCGTAGCTTCTTTATATTCTTAGAATAAAATCCGAGCACCATTATTTGGCCCCAGTTTACCTCTCTTTCCACTTACTCTTGAGACACTAAGTTTTGGGTACACTTCCCTTCCTTCATTATCTAGACTAGCGATGCTTCACCGTTTTAGGGCCTCTCCATATCAGTTTCTCATATATGGAATCTTCCCATTTTACAATCTTAGACTGCCAAACTTCTCATCCTTCATATTTCAGATTAAATGGAACATCTTTGGGGAAACTTTCTCAACCCCCATTAAGTTAGACTTTCACATGCACTCAGTACATAACCTATATAGTATTTTTCACAGTGTTTGTCTGAACATCTGTTTAAACTCTGTTCACCCCATTAGATGGAAAACAGTATAAAATATATATTTCTGTCTTGTTACCAGTATATGCCTAACTTCTACAAATTCAACAAATATCTGTTTCCACCGATTAAATGCAGTTATGCTGCTGAAACAGGTAGTTAACACAGGTGAAACCAATAATTGTAAAATTACTGTGAAATCAGAAGAGGAGAAAGCTCTGTGTTCCTTGAGTGAGTGTGAAAATGTGGAAGGAATGAGGCATTTGTGGTCATATATCATCCCCTGACATGATCTGTTACAATTTTTATCACTTTGCATGAAGTCGTCTTTTCATAGGATTTTTTTTACTATAAAAGCAACTCATGAACATTTTACAAAATTTAGAAAATAAAAAAAAACAGGATAATGAAGCATGTCACCATTTAGAGCAAAATCTTTTAAAATTTATGTGTAATAATTACATATGGGGGAAGTAGCCCTAGCAGGTGTCCACTTCCGTAAAATCATATAAATGAGGACTCTACCAGGGACCGTCACTTCTTGTAGATGACAGCACATTTAATTTCCCTAGGTTGTGTTTATTTAATTCAAATAACAAGAAACTCCTCCAGTAGCGTCAGCTGGGTTTAGTAAGGGGAGTAAATGATTAAAAATATTAAAACAACAACAAAAAAGAAACCCCAAACAAAACACCTTTTCCAAGAGTTCGAAACTGCTAGCGAACGCATGGTGGCGCTGTTGACTAAGAAGGAGAATTAAACCATAGGCAGTGTGCGTACTCAGTAACGCACTGATCCAGTGCGGTAAACTAAGCATTCTGAGCATGGGCAGATTTTTAAGCAAGCAAATCTGAGTCGTAGAAGGGATTATTTGCTAGACCTTCTTCAAAGGTTGGGAGGCAAAGGACTGTGTTTCCCTGCGCGTCAGAGGCTCAGGGTGGCAATATTTCTTGGAAGAACATGGCAGAGAGTGAAATGGAGGCCGGAGGGAAACGATTTCTTAGACAAAGGCAAGTCCTGTTTCTCTTTGTTTTTCTGGGTGGGTCTCTGGCTGGGTCTGAATCGAGACGCTACTCTGTGGCTGAGGAAAAAGAGAGGGGCTTTTTAATAGCCAACCTAACAAAGGATCTGGGGCTGAGTGTAGGGGAACTGGCCGCTAGGGGGGCCCAAGTTGTGTCTAAAGGGAACAAACAGTATTTTCAGCTCAACCATCAGACGGGTGATTTGCTCCTGCATGAGAAATTGGACCGGGAGGAGCTATGCGGCCCCACAGAGCCATGTATACTGCATTTTCAGATTTTACTGCAAAACCCTTTGGAGTTTATTACAAATGAGCTCCAGGTCATAGATGTAAATGACCATTCTCCGGTATTCTTTGAAAATGAAGTGCAGCTGAAAATCCTAGAAAGCACTCCACCAGGAACAATAATTCCTTTGGGAAATGCTGAGGACTTGGATGTGGGAAGAAACAGTCTCCAAAACTACACGATCAGTCCTAATTCCCATTTCCACATTCTCACACGCAGTCGTAGGGATCAAAAGAAGTACCCAGAACTAGTGCTGGACAAAACGCTGGACCGTGAGGAGCAGCCTGAGCTCAGTTTAACCGTCACTGCGCTGGATGGCGGGTCACCGCCCAGGACTGGGACTGTCCAGGTCCACATCCTGGTCTTAGACATAAATGACAACGCCCCAGAATTTACACAGTCTCTCTATGAGGTTCAAGTTCTAGAGAACAGTCCCGTTAACTCTGTTATTGTCACTGTCTCAGCTTCTGATTTAGATGCAGGAAATTTTGGAACAATATCATATACATTTTTTCATGTTTCTGAAGAAATTCGCAAAACTTTTCAACTAAATGCAATTACTGGTGATATCCAGTTAGTCGAATACTTGAATTTTGAGGCGATTAATACTTATGAAGTCGACGTAGAAGCCAAGGATGGCGGAGGTCTTTCGGGAAAATCAACAGTGATAGTTCAGGTGGTTGATGTGAACGATAACCCACCTGTACTGACTTTGTCATCGCTTACAAGTCCTATCCCGGAAAACTCGCCGGACACAGTGGTGGCCGTTTTCAGTGTTTCCGATCTAGACTCTGGAGACAATGGGAGAATGATGTGTTCCATTGAGAACGATCTCCCTTTCGTTCTGAAATCATCTGTAGAGAATTTTTACACTCTAGTGTCCCAAGGAGCATTAGACAGAGAGAGTAGAGCCCAGTACAACATCACAATCACGGTCACGGACTTGGGGACCCCCAGGCTGAAAACCCAGCACAACATAACCGTGCTGGTCTCTGACGTCAACGACAACGCCCCGGCCTTCACCCAAACCTCCTACACCCTGTTCGTCCGCGAGAACAACAGCCCCGCCCTGCACATCGGCAGCGTCAG